TGGTGCATGAGGAATGTGCCTAAGTGAACAAATGTGTTGTTAGTATTGTCCATTGTGAGAAGGGTGACTTGAGTACCATGGAAGCATCATTTTTTATAATCAAAAGAAGATGGAGCACATGGTCAACATTAGGATCAAATGAGGGAAGATTCACATAGTGCTCATTATCATCTGTTTCAGGATCAGATGAGAGCTGGCTATTTGCAATCTGAATGTTGCAAGGATCTGCACCTGTTTGAGGGTAAGAAGAAAATTCAGAGATTATCATGGTATATGTTTGTGTAGAGCTTGATGTTGCACTCAATGAGCAAGAGAGGATTTAAACTCCACTCTACCACAACTGACTGATACCAATACCACCTTGTCACTCAATTCATGATCAACTCATCTATGAGATTGATAATACTACCCTAGAAGTAGTAGCAGCACTTTATGATCATGTTATGAAAGATGGTTCTGCCAGTGACTCAGATTCTGATATCATCCTCTCCCTACCCTCCCCAATATCCCCCTATTTCTCTGACAGTACTAGTGGCAACTCCAGCAACTCTAGTGATATGATCACATGCTACAGTCTCCTCCTTGATGCAATTTTGGCTCTTCATGATAAGGTTGAAGCCTCAGATGTCTTCAATTGACAAAATTGTCCTATCCTGCATGCTCTGCAGATTCAACTCTTAAATGACTTTGCTGAGAATCACATCAATTTATTTTGTCAAAAATTGTGTGTAAACCCTGATGTTTTTGACACCATCTTAGATCAGATCAGCAGTCACCCAGTGTTTCAAAATAACTCAAACAATCATCAGCTTCCCATTGCCATACAGCTTGCAGTCTTCCTTAATTGTGCTGGGCACTACAGAAATGCCGCTTAAAATCAAGATATCACCCAATGGGTATTAGTATCAGGTCTGTCACCAATTGCATAAACCATGTAATAGTTGTGCTATTAGATCAGCACAACAAGTTTATGTACTTCCCAATGGTTGATTCTAATGATACAGAGAAGGCTTGTAAGTGGGTAGAGGAAAAGACCTGTTCAGAGTGGTGAAATAGCATATTTGCCATTGATGGATCTGCAGCTAACCTGATGAACAAGCCTAGCCTTCATGGTAAGGTCTTTTCAACAGGAAAAGCACTTACTCCCTTAACTGCTAGGTTTGTTTGTTTTTCTAATTTCACACATTCAATTTAACTTTTTTTCATAGCTGGTGATCATGCCTCACAACCTCTTCATAGCCAACTGCTCCATTGGCTATGCAGGAAGCACACATGATGCATATGCATTCCAGTCAACTTGGCTCTATCAGGAGCACATGGACCTTCCTGACAATGACTACTGGATATGGGCTGATAGCACATATTTGGTAGAGACATGGTGTGTTTCACTGAAGGTGAGGACTATGGGCTATGAGAGAAACAGATGAATGCTAAGGGAACTCTACAGCAAGACCTGGATGTGAGACAGAACTTGACCCAAAGGACAGCTACTGAGAGGGGGTCCTCGAAATGACAGAGGGAGACTCTGTAGCCAAATGGGTGCTAGAGGATGCACAAAGTGCAAATGCTGGAAGAAGTGTGGTCAAAATGCACACAAAAGTGCACTGGGATGGTAGAAAGTGAGAGCACATGCAAGAAATGCAGTGCACTGTCTTCTTACTTGAGGGTCTTATATAAGTTGAGGTGAAATACAATGACTATCACAATTGTACTTCAATAAGACTAAGGTGCCAGCTCCTCAAGTTCATGGTCAATAGATTTTCTACTTCTTGGTTGATAACATGTTGTCTGTGGGTGGCCAAAGGGTAATAAATTACTTCTCTGCTTGATCGCTTCTTGATAGTAAAGGAGTAGTGTATTTTGTCAGGTTAACTGAGACCTAGTAGGTAATATGAACCTTTCTGATGTGTTATGCTGGCTAGATAACTCATGTCTCCCTTCTTGTAAAAGAGAGAATGCTGACTTGAATACGTGAAACAATAGATAAAACAATAGATTATTGTATAGGCAATCCCTATAAGATAGGATACAATCAATCTGGACTAGCAATATGATAGTTTTCAAAGGCAATCTTGAGGCCTTCACTTTCTTCACAATCTCACACTATTGAGACAGAAAGAGGGCAAACTCCTGCACTTCAAATCTTACAAATCTCACAGTTTGAGACAAGAAAGAAGAGGGAAAAACTTATTGATTATGTGAGAATGGAGTCCTTATATGCATTTTAGAAACCATCCTTACTAAGCAATGACTCATGACTGGATTGGTAAGAATATGCTTACAAACCAAGCCTTTTGGTGTGCTGAATCAGCTGCTTACTAAAGTACATGAGTAAAATATTACAAAGCATGACAAATCATGACAAAACATGATAAGTCATGGAAAAATCCTTACAAATCAGAATATTACCAGTCACATGACATGCTTACAAACATATCTGAGTGGTTCACTGATGTAATCAAGTGGCTGAAACTATAAATACAAGTAAATAAATAATGGGAAATACATGACTAAGCTTATGAATGAGAAATATATCCTCATACAATCTCCTAATCATCCCCTTCTATACTTCTTTTTGTATATGTCATGGTATGAACTCCATACCATGCATGACAGCACATGATGGGGGTCAGAAGTGTAGAGACTAAGGGATGACTGGAGACTGAATCCAGTGATGGGATGATCAAGCTAATGCAAGGCAGTTGCATCTAAGCAAGCACATGTGAATTTGGACTTCTGAAGGCTTCAAACTTGCTCTAGAGTGCAAACTACTGCTACTATACAGAGGTGGGGGATACTAAGATAGGATACTCTAAAAAACTATAAGTCTCTTCCCTATATCAAGTGCTAGGCAACACTTGTAGTACAGAAGCAAAGTGAATAGGTAGCAATATCTATATGTAATGGTGCCTAAGTGTGCACACATGTGCTTACAGTGCTGTAGTTGGTCCAGAAGGTACATCAGAGTGATAAGAGTATAAGAAAAATGCACCAGTGGACTTAGCAAGGACATGGATGGGAGGATGGACCATAGTGGAGGACCTGGAGCAGATATGTGGGATATGTGAGTGTGTTAGTGCACAATGACATGAGTGACTTATCCTAGGGATTTGTCCTATAATGGCCATATAGAGGCATGAGTCTCTACACCACCATCAAGAAACCACAGAATGGAGCCTTGACACACAATCAACAAACTTTCAATTATCACCTTTCCTGCATATGTATTTCAAACATCCTGAACACTTCTGTTAATTTTAAGGTGATTCAGGTCTGGGTTCAGGTTGAACATGCCTGTGCAGCTATTAAATGATGTTTCTAATCTCTTCACAAGCTTTGCCACCCTATCACTGCAGAAAAAGACCTTCACTATTTGAGCTATTGGATTTTGTGTTGTTTCATCCTTCACAACATGATTGTTCAGTTTGAGGCACAGCATAAAAGCAAAGATATGGTTGAATGGGCTTGTCATGAAGGGGCATGGTTTGTGGCTACAGTGGGGGATGGTATAGGTAATAATGCTACTAATGGTACTCCTGGCCAACAGTGCCAGATAGAGCTTGTGAATCTCTTACTTGACAGTCCTTACAGTGTCAATGCAGAGTGCAGAGACTAGTAGATATCCCATCAAAATCTGTAATAGTACATGAGCAACAAGGCCATACTAGTAGGTGTATCAAAAGCATGCTAAACAAAACAAAGATAACAGCAACAATACCTGACAATGACAGCTAACAAAAAAAATATGTGATGTATAATGAGGGTAGACTGAAAAGACAGGCACAATCAAGATGTAGGTTTTGACAAAGATTCAGCAATGGATGGAAATGATAGCACTGCTTCATGCCGCTTCTGCTGGAGCTGGGGCTGCTGTTCTCCTAGCTAGAGCTTGAGGCAGAGGAGTTTTATTTCAGAAGCATGTGTTTGAGCTTTTGCTTGCTCAAGACAAATATCAGTGTTCTTTGATTCTATTATGCACTGGTGCTCAAGTGAAGAGCTCAACTGCTGAATCAACTGTTAGCTAAGAGAGAACATTTGGTCCCATTTGTTAAGAACCGTGCTCAAAGGGGAGAGAGACTGACTCAGAGGGGCTTGGCCTCAGCTCGTATGCTGTGCCCCTTACCTGAGTATGTGCCCTTCATTTTAGAGGAAGTCTGATGATGGTCTGATGAAGTCCGGAGGACTTCTGGAGGCTGGCTACTCTGGTGGAGAGTGTGGGAGGACTTCTGGAGGAGCATGGGAAACATCCGGAGGAGTGTGGGAGAGTTCCGGAGGAATGCAGGAAGTGCTCAGGAGAGTTCCCACTGCAAGATAATACTTCTACAGGAAAACAGGATGGAAGGATAGGAGGTCTGGAGGTCCAGAGTATGGAGGACAGGAGGTCTGGAGGACAGGACATGGAGGTATGGAGGACAGAACATCCAAAGGTACGGAGGGCAGAATGTCTGAAGGACAGGATGCCTGGAGGTATGAGGGACAGGAGGTCTGGAGGTCTGGAAGGAATAGGGGCTACATCGGACGAAGTCCAATGCAGAAGCAAGCAGAGGTAGACTACCCTAAGGTAGAGTTGGAGGGACAGGAAGTGGACCTAAGTCCAGAAAGAGGGTAAGTGCCAGAAAGGCGGAGCTCTGGCCTAGGGAATCAATCCCTAGGCCTGATGGGTAGGACAGACTTAGGTGGACCAAAGTCTGAGAGAAGATTGGGCAAGTCTAAGTTGATATTCAGACTGAGGACTCTACTGTAGTTGTACAGGGGTTATATACTAGAGGCTATCCGAGAGGATCAGTAAGCAAAGGAGTAAGGCTATGTACAAGCATGCAGAAACACATTGGTAAGTAAGACGGAATATAAGTAAATGAACTTGGAGAGGAAACTAGTACAAGGATCAATCAGCAAGACAGAAACAGAGATAACCGAGAGCCGGAAAGGTGGAGATGCCTAAATGGGGATAGGCACAGGATCTTGGATAGAGGGCAGGAATAGGTCCGGAGATAGTACAGTTAATATCCAGAGGTCTGGAGATCTGGGGATCCAGAAGGCAGGGTGGAAACAGGACTGAGATATGTGAGGTGGTGAACGTAGTCCAGAATCCAAGAGGAGGTAAAGTCCAGATGTCTTGCTGGATGGAATGTGCATAGGGTGGACAGGATAGGGGATCCAGGAATGAGTTGGATATGGGGTCCAGAAATAGGTCTGGAAAGCATGGGAATATGGTGGGATCTATGTCTGGCATATGGGATATGACAGCCATCCAGATCATAAAATTCATTATTATCATCTGGAGCTGGACAGCTACTGACAGCAGCTGTGGAAGTAAGAGCACTTTTCATGTGCATCATAGACAGAAGGTGGCCAGAGTAATCAGCTTTGTGATTGGATGAGAATGCCTTGGGGGCATATGATGGGATGCTGTGCCATAACTCATTGAGGTCATCATAGGTTGGAAGTTGTCTTAGCACATCCTCTACAAATTGATTGGCATTGGTTAAGTATTATAGAAGAAAATACTCACCACATAGATTGGCTGCTGCACTTGGATCAGTGGGGTCAACTCTACCTCTGGTCTGATTAAACCTTGATTGTTGTATTCAGTATTTGTTTTTAAGGCTAGGTAAATTAGCATATAAAAGGTGAAGGAAAGAAAAAGTACTTGCAAGGTAAAATGGTTTCCAACTGCAACTGCAAAATTTTGAGGATATGCCTGATAGTAGTTGCTATAGTGAACATCTTTGGCAAAGATCTCCTTTGCAATGACGGCATGGATGCCACCCTTTTCTTTGCTGGAAGGCTGCAAGCCACTGTCATCATCTTGCATAGTTTGATTCTTCTTCTTTTTGTTCTTGCTGAAAAGTACACAACAGTCCCCATGATGAGCCATAAGGTAAGCAACCAGGAAGGAGGTGCGATCTATGCCCCTGCTTTCCCATTTGATGTTGAATTTTGAGGAAGGGACAGGTGCAATGATAGTGCTGGTGGAAGGTGCAGCAGTGCTGGTAGTAGGAGGAGGAGGAATATTGACAGGGGTAGAAGGAGCACTAGCGTTTGTGGTATTGGCTGAATCAATACTTCCTCCCCTTGTCCCTCCCCTAGTCCCTTTTATCCCTCTCATTTGGCCTCTTGCTCTATCTCAGATTGTCCTCTGTGGGTCACTCATGGTTGATATGGGGGTAGTAGTGAGCCTTCAGACCACTGTACACAAGGGCAAAGGGCAGGTATGGTACTTAAAACTCTGCATCAAAATTGCCAAATGGATGCCATGCATTGGGCTGTGTTAGGGCACTTACTGAAATTTCAGGGAACAACTTTGAATGATACTATTGTTTTATCACATCATGTACAGGAAACAGGTACAAAATCTGGGAATATCTGAGTCTCAGCAGTTTGCTGATGGCCATTGTTCAGCTTTAATTTTGTAATTCTGTTTGCTATCACATCCTAATATACATTTCTTCCATCTACTTCCTATCCACCTATGAAGCCTGTACCTTGTCAAGTGCACCATTCAGTGTGCTGAATGTGCTGAAAGGCCATATTTAAGACTCAATGTGCCATACACTTATATCTTCAAGCATGGCCAAAGGTAGCTGAGCAGAATTAAAACCTGGCAACTCAGCAACACTCATCCTACCATACCTAACTTCTAACTGCACCCTCCTGTGCCAGGCCTAACCACAACTGCATGAAGCCTGGTGTTGCCTCCACCATGACACCTCAAAATTTCAATGGCACCCCCCACACCAGAGTAAAGAAAATACAAGTAAATTTGCTCACAACAAATGCTGAACATTATGGAGACATGTGAAAATTTTATTTAAACAAATTAAGGAGACATGTCTCTATGTTCTAAGCTTGTCCAACCTCAAATGAAGAATCCCAAAATGGACAACACATTGAAGTCATCATTGTCATTCAAGTTGTCATTCATGAGTGCAAGAAGGTTGTCCTATATTAGTTGCAAGGGGATACTCAATCTGGAAAGCAAGCTTGCGAGTGTGGCAGAGGATGGTGGTCATACCAGTGCAGGCCCTTGTTTTGAAATACCTAGCAATGATATAAGATATGAGCAGTACTATTTTTCATACCAGGGGGGATGTGGTTAAGGCCAGAGACATCAATGTTAAATAACACAGTGACAGTGTGTCCAGTATTGCTGTCAGGATAATGTAAGATGAATTTGGGGAGGGAAGGCAGGTTTTTGCAGAGAACGATGATGGTGGCCACATGAGGGCATGGGTGCCAAAAGTGCACCAGTCAATCACCAGAGAAGGACAAGAGCAGTGAAGGTGATGGATGAGTGGAGTTTGGTGCGGTGGAGGCCCAGGGTGCATGGCCACATGCCACTGCATGCACTGATAAAACTTGTCTTGGGAGCTAGATATCAATGAGCACAGATAGTAGCAGGTATTCTGGACAAGCAAAAAGATGGATAATGAACAACCTGAGTTATAGGTTGAGTTTAGGTGACACCTTTTGTGTAGATGAATTATCATTGGTGTTCATGATGGCATTGGTAAATGCCAGAAAGTCCTGTCCTGTTCCTATCACTTGGGTAAGTCAGAGGCAAATTTGCAGCTGACAAGGAGCTTTCAGGGTTTGTCATTACTGGGGGTGCACATTCTTGGTTCCATCACTGTGATGCTTATGTAAGATTCCCATAGGCAAATTTTCAAAACTCAATGGTACAAGTCCTCAAATATGAAGTACCATGCACAAGAAACATCAATTTGACTGTCAGATGGTGCCTAAGGTATGCTATATAGTAGTACAAGTGGAGTGTTATGATTTACAGCTGTTTCAGATATCAACAAGACAGTCATGATAGGTTTTGCACATGTATGCACCTCTGAGTCCAAGGGATCAATGATAATCAATATGTTAAAAGTCCATCTTGTCATCTGAATCCTCCACATTGTCATGATGAGATGTGCTCACATCAAATTGTGTGGTAGACAACATGGTAGCTTCTGTACAAGTCTTAAAGTCTGCAACAATTTTTTTCAGGTATGCTAGCTTTTGCTCACATTTAGTGCCAATTTTATGGGAGTATGGTTTGTGTAGTGTATTGTCACAGTAATGATGCAGTTTAAGCTGCTCAATGATTTGTTTCATGTTGAGGGCATTGAGTGTTGCATTGTCAAGAATTAGTTCAACCACATCCAGCAATGTATCCTTCTCTGCTGTCTTTGCCTTCTTTGTGGCAACCCTTTGACAAGTCTCTTCAACCTCTCATTTGTCGTGATCTGCAAGCTCTTGCCATTGCTTTTTCTCCAGCTTCTGCCCATCAATCCATTTGGCCTCCTGTTATGCTTGGTGTTACAAGAATGTCTTGACAAAAACAAAGAGTCTAAAGCATGAACCTATTCACAAGTCATGCAAGTTAAGCAGTATATTGCAGGCCCTGGTCTGCATAGGTCAAGTTAAAGAATACAAGTGTAAGAGATAGGTATTAAATAAAGGGATTAAAGCAGAGCTTTGATACATGAGTCAGAGATGGAAAGTAAATAACGAATCATAAAAAGAGGATAGGAATTGTACAATGGAACATGATAGAATGTCTAAGAATGATTAGTAATGTGAATAAGTGAAGAGGTGAATGGTAAAAAGATATAATTGTAACATTACCCCTGTTTTAAGGGTAGTAGGCACCAACTACTATCAAAGGAGATAATGCAATTGTTTATAAGTAAGGAGAGAATCAGAAGCATTACCTAGTTCAGCTTCCTTCATCCATTCATTCTTGGAACTCAGGAATCCTTTCCATTTAACATAATATTGGCATCTAGAAGAAGAGCCTCAGTGTCCAATGATAGCTTCTATTTCATATTCTTCTTTGCTGTTAATAATATCTGGTGGTGGTGTAATATGATTAGGGCCATGGGTATCATTCTCTTCATAGGGAGAAAGGAGAGTGGTGTGGAAGACAGGGTGAATGCACCATTGTGTGGGTAGAGTGAGTCAATAAGTTATGGGAGATAGTACATCAATGATGGTGAATGGTCCTTTGTGTTTAGGAGTGAGTTTCCAATTAGGGTATCTGAGATGAAGGTTCTTGGCTTCAAGCCATACCTTGTTGCCTCTAGAGAATGGTACAAATTTAGGTGTGATTTGTTGACACATAGTGTTTCATGCAAGTTCATGAGCAGCTAGTGCTTCATTGCATGCTTTATTAAGGATAGTGAGGCATTGTTCAATATTAGGAATGTCAGATTTAGGGTGAAGGTCAGGGAGGTGACATGGGTGATAACCCATCATGAGGTAGAAAGGAGAGGTACTGTGGGCGGAATGGTGGTGTGAGTTATGGACAAACTCTGCAAGCAGTAACATAGGTACCCAGCCTGTCTGGTCATTAGTGCAGAAGATCTGAAGATAAACTTCAAGTTCTTGATTAACTTGTTCAGTTTCTCTGTCACTTTATGGGTGGAAAGCAATGGAAAGGGAGTTCTTGTACCCAAGGAGTTTTTCGAGTTCAATCTGGAATTGGGAAATGAACTGGGGTCCATGGTCAGAAATAATTTTATTGTAAAGTCCATATCTAGAGAAAACTTTGGAAAAGAAAATGTTCATGACACCTTCAGCATCTATAGTCTTGAGGCAAGGAGTGAAAACTACCTCTTTCGAAAGTCCATGGTCGTGGTCGACCATGATGCTGTCAAAGCCATCAGAAAGAGGTAGATTGGTGATAAGATCAACCAAACAATAGGCAAAGGGTCAGTTGGAAATAGGGGCAGGTACAGGAAAGAGGGGTGGAGTAGATGGGTGCATGTTTACTTTATTCTGTTGGCAGATGCAACAGCCATCTATGAAGTTCTTGATGAAGGTGGCTAGTCCTGGCCACCAATAGTCATGAGAAAGAACTTCCTGGGTTTTATAATGTCCAGGGTGTCCAGCAGTGGGAGAGTCATGATGAAGGGAAGTGAGTTCTCATTGGAGATCTCCAGGGGGTACATAAGCAAGTCCTTTATTAGTGAGAATTCCATCACTCAATTTCCAATCAGAAAGAGCTGAATGGAGGGGATGAGGAATGGAAAAGTCTGTAAGTGCTTGAAGCACTGTGTGAACTACAGGGTCTATGGCAGAAGAAATATGTAATCTGTCAGTGAATGACATGTCCATGACATTGAGAAATAAAGAGTCAGGGAGGAGTTGTATACTAGTATTGTCCTTTTTGATGTCTACATCTGGAAGGTGATCCATTTTATGGGAAAGGAGGTCAGGGATAATAAATTCTTTTCCAGATATGTGCTGGATTTGAAGTTTGAATTGGGAAAGGAAAATCTGCCATCTAGCTTGATGGTGGTTAAGGTCTTGTATGTCTCTGAAATATTGAAGGTTCTTATGGTCAGTTTGCACGAGGACAGGGAAGGGAGATCTGAGGAGATAATGTCTCCAGGCTTTCAAAGCCCAGATGATAGCAAGAAGTTCTCAGTCATAGATCTGGTAGTTACATTCAGCAGGGTTAAACAATTGAGATAAAAAGGAACAAGGGAGCCAGTCTCTGTTGTTGTCTTTCTGGAGAAGTACTGTGCCTGTAGCATATAAGGAAGCATCAGTGGCAATAGCGAAAGGGGTATTTTTGTTGGGTATTTGAAGAATTGGGGATGAGGTAAAGATATGTTTCAGCTTATTGAAGGCTTCCTCATGTTCAGAGGTCCAAGAGAATTCTTCATCTTTCTTGGTTAGGTCAATTAAGGGTCTAGCAATTGAAGAATAGTCAGCAATAAACTGTCAGTAAAAGTTAGCAAATCCAAGGAATGAACAGACTTCTTTCATTTTCATGGGAGTTGTCCACTTGGATATACCCTTTAGTTTGGCAGGGTCCATGGTGATAGAACTGGGTTTGATGATCATACCAAGATATTCAATTTTGGTTACATTGAAGGTACATTTTTTGGGTTTAAGATGGAGGAGATTGTCATGGTGTCATTGGAGAACCTTGTGGGTTCAGATGCAGTGAGTTTCATCATCCCTAGAAAAGATGAGTATATCATCCATGTATATAATAATCCATCCTTCTTGGATCATGTCTCTGAACAGGTCATTCATCATTGACTGGAAGGTGGCAGGCAAGTTACACATTCCAAAGAACATGACTGTGGGTTCAAAAAGTCC